TCTCAGCCCTTGTAGTCGAGTGTCCCTGGGCCTGAAATGACCTGCTGGGTCGGGGCATCGTTACCCATCCGGCTGGGCAATTTGGCGTGGGCTTGAATGTGGGTTCGGACGGTGCTTTGGGCGTGGATGTGGACTTGGACGTCGGTCTGGGCGTGGGTTTTGTCATAGGTTTCGACGTGAGTTTCGGCATGTGTCTGGTCCAGAGCCTGCACGATTGTTAGGGCGCGGGTTTCGACGTGGATGTGTGCACTGCACGTTTTGCTCTGGCGCGGGTTTTGACGCAGGTTTGCACGTGGGTTTGGATGAGGGTCTCGACTTGGGATTCTACGTGGGCTACGACTTCATACATATTGCATCTTATGGTTGCACTTGCAGGGTTTCGTGAATAGAGCTCCTCACACAGGTTTCAACGAGGGTGTCCTCAGGGTTCTACGCACGCACGTTTCGCACATCAAAGGGTCTTACACGCTCAGGGTTCCACACAACGTAGCGTTCTTTCCGCACGCACACACACACACACCTAGTGTTACACACACATAGGGATCCATGTAATGGGGGCGCCGTCCATACATGGGTTTTCCCATTTGTTGCGCCCGCGGCAGGCCGTTTAGGTGCTCACATGCTCTCTAGCATTTCATCGAGTTGTACATGGAAGAGCGCGGCCAAAGGCGACAGAAAATATCAGGCACTTGTCGCAGCAGATCCAGGATCCATCGTGGAACGCAGTGGGTAGACTTTGGAGCGGTTTGGGCCCACCTGGTTCTACGCAGCGAGTGGTTTCCATTCGTTCGTTCGTCTTCATGTTGCGTGGAAGCGAGGTTAATTGATCTTCCGTCGAAGTCTCATTGCGACATGCACGCACATGTGAGTACAGTGATATCGGTAAGATAGCGACTTCTGGCATGTTCGCGTCGTGTCGATCGGTGGCGACCCTGCCGGCGTTCAGCGTTGAACGCCGTCCGCGACCAACGGTCTGATGTTTCGGAAGCAGCAGATCGTTCAAGGTTGAACGATCCCCGCGGTGTTAGAAACCAATGCCGAAGTGGGCACGACAAGAATCTGCCGTATTTGATTTCAAGTCAGATCCCTGTTTGTTTTCTTGGCTCCCGCTCGGCGATGCCATCGCTGTGCATGTTGGTGTTGAGCTGAATCAGTTTCTGTGCGTACTAAGCCTACTTCCTCGCCCTGGGGTCCGACGTCCACAGGCAAAACGAAAGCGAATGTACGTCGTGCTGACGCGAGCCGCCTTGAACAAACTACGGTGGTGCACCGCTGCTGCTGCTGCCTCGTGCGTACCAGCGGTGCAGCCACCAGGTTCTAGCCTGGGGAAAGCTGTACAGTACGGACACGCTGCGAGTGGGTGGAATCGACCACGAGGACACTGGTCGTCTTGCCCGGGCTCTTGGGATTTGTAGTAGTGTCAGTCGTTGAGGTTCTTGAGGGGAGTTGCAGACAAGGGCAATCCAGAAAGGCATTGAATCTGTGTTCGAAGCCTCGCAGATTTGTTTGGAGCCAGATGTTGCGGTTTATACGGCAATGCCTTTTGTATTACGGAGTTGCCGTCAGTGTAAATGTCCGACGCATTTCCAGTGTGTTTGATTTGGGAATTTGGTTTACCAGCCTCGACCATATAGGGTTTTTGGTTTTGTTGCGGTATGAGGAGGAGGTGAGCAGGATGCCGCAGGAAGAGCGTGAAGGAGGATGAGGTTCACATGATGGAGGCGGACTAGGATGCAAACATGACAACAGCATGATGAGGACGATAAGCGGGGCATTCCTTCGCGCGCCGCTGCATGCATCTTTTGTACGTGCACTCGTTGTTTCGACACATCACGTTTAGCTGATACAGGGTTTAGCCAAATGCGTGAGTGTATGGAGGATAAGGGGCGAATCAGAAGCAGGAGGAGTCTGAGGATTGGACGTTGGTGGGGCGAGACAGAGTGACACTGATCCCCAAAACTAGGAAATCTGTTTCTTGGTCGGTGTGTGTCATGCGTGGCGCGCGTGCGGGCTAGACGAGGCGAAATTGCGCGAGTTCTTGCCCTAGCTATGTCCAGTGTAGGACACATTTCGTCCCCCCCTGTTGGCTTGTCCCGCGGTTTTCTTGTGGCTGTTTTTTGCTTTTCAGTGGTTGTTTGGTTGTCCCGAAGTTGCCCCGTGACTGTCTCGATAGTTCACTCGTTGGTGCCCCGTGGCTGTTGCGTGGTTGTCCTGCGGTTGCCCCGTCTGTAGATAAGCAGACCGATCGGCACGTCGCCATATCGATACACATATTCGCAGTGAGGCCCGTAGTTCGGTAACCGAGCGCGTGTGATAATACAGTACCCCCCCCCTTCACCCCCTTTTTTCGACTATCCCCGTCCGAAACGATTTAATTGTGGAGGGGGGCGCGGGGGCCGAACTTGATAACCCACGGGAAAGTTACGGGGATCGAAGTTGTTATCATATCCTGTTGGCTAGCAACAGCATCAAAAACTTTGAGCATGGCCATGGTGGTCTCACCACACCAGCTTCCGCAATCACGAGCGTGTGGCAGGGCTGTGGGGTTCTTACCAGTTCAGTTTGCCCACGTTACGAACGTGCGGCAGGGCCATGGGATTACAATTTTCTTAGCCGTGCCCGAGTCAAGAACGTGCGGCAGGGCCATAGGGCAGCGCAAGAGAGGTTTCTTGGCCAAATCGGCCAAGGACCTCTCTTGCGCAGGCAAAGTGTAGGCACAAGCCTCGAGAGCTCTCGAGTCAGCCTTGTGCCGAGCGCCTGCTGTCAAATTGTATAGCCACGAGCTTCGAGAGCGCTCGAATCAGCCTTGTGCCGAGCGCCTGCTGGCAAGTTGTATAGCCACGAGCCTCGAGATCTCCCGATTCAGCCTGTGCCGAGCGCCTGCTGGCAAAAAACATCGTCACGAGCCTCGAAATATCTCGTGTCAGCCTTGCGCGGGACGCCCAATATCACCATCATCATGATCATCATCATCATCATCATCATCATCGTCATCGTCATCGTCACCGTCATCACCTTCAGCATTATTATCATCCCCGGGAGAATCTTTTATTGTCCCCGCCAGAACCCCGAACTTTATTATCCCCGGGGTTTCATTATCGCCCGCACACGGCTCATGATTCCGCCAGCGAGTAAAATTGATATGAACATTGCGATTGATACTGGTAGATGCATGTTGATACCGATGCGTCGCAATATCGACAGAATTATTGAAAGTGGAGTCGGTAGATTCACAGTGATACCGGTAGCTAGTTGGATCGGTGTTACGTGGTGGTTGTCCCGCGGTTGTTTTTTGGTTGCCTGGGTTTCGCGGTTGTCCCGTGGTTGTCCCGTTGTTGCGTGTGGTTGTCCATCGTGTTTCCGTGATTGTCCCGTGGTGGCCCCGTGTATACATACCCATACGACCATTTTTTGGGTGATGAGGAAGTTCGGAGGGGGAGGAACCAACGACTCATTCAATTTATCACATCGATACCACTATCCATCTCACAATCGATCTCACGATCCTTTTTTCTGCCAGTCTCATTATCGATCGCACATTCGATCTCACAGCCGCCCCCACAAACGACCTCACTATCGATCTCGGTATCGATGTTATTGTCGATTTGGTTACCGATCGCACGATTGATCTTATTAGCGGTTTCGCTATCGATATCACTATCAGTCCCACCGTCGATATCACTATCGGTTTCCTTACCGATATCACTATCGATCTCACCATAGATTTCACAATCGATCTAATTTTCGATCCCGACATGGATTTCATTATTGATTTTATTATTGAGCCCCCTTGCCGGTCGCACGTTCGATCTCACGGTCGACCTTGCAATCGGCAAGCGCTTTAGAGGGCCCAAGAGCGCTCCAAGAGAGCCCAAGACCGCACAATAGCGTGACGACGGCCCTAAAAGGCTTCAAGACGGCCAAGATGCTCCCAAAAAGACTCCCACGAGGCACTCAGGAGGCGAAACCAATAGGGTGTTTCGATGGTTTTTGAGGGTTGTTCGTGTTCTCGCTGTTTCGTTCTTCCGACGGTCCAAGACAGCTCACGAAACCCCAGAACTCAGTTCAAGACGGCCTGGAGGCACCCAACGAGGGCTCCACGACGGCGCAAGAGTCCACGGCCCAAGAGTGCCCCAAGACGGCCCAAGAGGCGCCCAAGATTGCCCAAGAGGGCCCCAAGGCGGCCCCAAGAGGGGCTCAAGGGGGGGGAAAACGAACCGACAGTTCGAGCCTTCCGCCCCAAGAGGCCTCCAGAAGGCCCCAAGAGGCTCCCAACAGGGCCCCAGAGTCCCCGTAGAGGCCCCACGAGGCCCCACAGAGGCACAAACAAAGGTCCCAAAGGCATTCCAAACGGCCCCGAAGAGGCCTCCCAAACATACTGGTGCATAGCAAAGGACCGCCTAGCCTATCGTGGCATCGCTGCGATGCAGCTAAACGTGTCAGTGCATATCACAATAATGGCGAGCGTGCCGTAGCATTGCATTCCATAGCAGTGTTCAGCTGAGCCTAGCACTGCACGTCACGACGTACATTGCCTAGCATGACGTTGCATCTCATGACACATCGTGGCGTACTATGGCATTCCAGTGCACATAAATCATGCAATTGCATATCACACCCCCGTTGTTGCTCTTACCGTCGTCCTGTTAATCTCAGACCAGCAGCTCGTAACATGGCATAACATTGCATTGCATTACATAGCACGGTATGCCGTGTTTTTGGATACCATGAAACGCGGTAGCATCGCTCCTCATAGGAAGCAAAGCATGACATGACATGGCTCAGCGTATCATCTCATAAATTATCATAGCATTTCACAGCACAGCATGGCATGGCATGCGATGCGCACTGTAGAGTATATCACGTTTTTGTATTGCATACAGCATAGTGTCATTGCGCTTTATAGCGTAGCATGGTGTATCATGGCATTCCATTGTTTAGTGCAACATGTCGCTGTAGCGCTGCTTTTTTCCTGGCCCATACTTTGGCGACAGATCACTGGTCGACCGGTCGATGAGAGCGGAAAAGGACCAGTGAAGAAGGGACTGGAGGAAACAGAGAATGTTGACCTCAGTATTCATGATTGGCTTGTTGTCTCAATGCGGTCAGCACTCGACCAGCTAGAACCTAAGCGCGCGCGAAGCGCGCGCGATGGTTCTAGTGCATATATATATATATATGTATATATGTATGGGCGCTGGCGCATTCTCCTCGTGCAAGAATGGATTGAGTTCTTGTCCAGAAAAGTGACGAAGTTTGTGACGTTTCTTTTATTTGGTGCGGGGTTCCGCGCCCCGATGCGCATGTCAGCATCTCCCATGTTCTCGCGACCGGCAATTCCAGAAACGGTAGTGCGCAGCGAAAACGCAAGCAACGCGACTCATGATCGATCGCGGCGTCACAAGCGGCTTCCAACACAAAGATTAGTTTAGCTGTTGTAGTTGCAGTGCATTCGTATTCGTGTGCTTGTTCAGAAGTAGTGGCATTAATCTTGCAGTGGTGGCAGTAAGTCGTACTCAGGCGTTCTAGCGCTATCGTAGAGTTACTATTGCGGCAGCCTTCCAGTACGGTCGTGTTGTTCTAGTATTGGTTTTGTAGCAGTACTGATGGAAGTAGCAGAAGAGTTAGTAGTAGGTAAATCGTAGTACTCGTCGCAGTAGCAGTAGTAGTAGCAAGAGTAGTAGTCTAGCACTGTAGTAGCACGGCAGTCATTAGAATGCAATCGCAGTAACAGCTTAGTAACACAGTACTAACATAGTACCTATCGTACTGTGGTAGTGGCTGTAATAATAGTACTGTCGATGCAGTTGCCATGCAGTGGCACTATAGTCATCCAGTAGTAGTACCATGATAGTGCGTGTTGTAGCAGTAGCACTTCAGCACGGCAGTGCCATAGCAGTATTGTTGTAGTGACGGTCGCATCGCTTACGCTATATACAATTCGGAGCACTGGTGGTAGTTCCATCGTACTTGTCGAACGTTGGATGTGATACTCAAACAGTAGCACTCCTAGTATGATGGTACGACCCGCTCTTTATTAGTAGTACGAGTACTAGTACGACTAGTAGTAGTAGTGGTAGTAGTAGTAGTAGTAGTAGCAGTAGTAGTAGTAGGAGTGGTAGTGGTAGTAGTAGTAGTAGTAGTAGTAGTAGTAGTAGTAGTAGTAGTAGTAGTAGTAGTAGTAGTAGTAGTAGTAGTTAGTAGTAGTAGTAGTAGTAGTAGTAGTAGTAGTAGTAGTAGTAGTAGTAGTAGTAGTAGCTAGTAGCGTAGTAGTAGTAGTAGTAGTAGTAGTAGCGTAGTAGTAGTAGTAGTAGTAGTAGTAGTAGTAGTAGTATTGTTGTAGTGACGGTCGCATCGCTTACGCTATATACAATTCG